AATGGGCCTCATATCGGGTCTCAGATCCTCCTTTTCACCTGCCCTGTCTTCTGGTAAGTGTAAATCCCCATCCTTACACCTTGTTCTTTCAACCTTTTTTAATAAGACAAGATTATTTTCTAATTCTTAAAAACCAGATGTAAAGAAAATCCATTTCTAGAATGCTACTTCCAGAAATTTCCTTCCCAAATTAAATATTTTTAAATGGATCTTAAAAGCTGCCCCTTTGGTCACTCTATAATAGTTTTTCTCATGGAATATACATAGGAAAGGGTGGTACAGGAGGTTAGGTGAGGGATAGGGCTCTGCCCAGTCGTTATCACTGTCCCGTGATCAGGTGACTGACTCCTCAGGATAATTTATGGAACAGCCTGTAAAGATTTGTTCAGAGCAGTTAAAAAGCAGGGAATCATGGTTACTAGTTCTTTAAGAGCTGTTTATTACTGTTTCCAGCCTGCATTATTGCCTCTCAACCACGGTTTTCAAACGTTTTTCAAAAGAAGTATGCAAATAAAAGCAAACTGCTCTTATTGAAGTGGAAGTGTCTGGGCCCATATCCTGACAACTTGGCAGGTTTCTAACACCTCTTTGGACCTGAAACCCCTCTTTGGAACCCTTGGGCAAGGAAGGGAGAGAAGGACAGAAGGAGAGGGGAAGAAAGAAAAAAAAAAGAAAGAAAACTTTTAAACCTCTGATATAGAGCATAAAAAATGGATTTGAACAGGATTTGGGAAAATGCTTAGAACTGAGTGCTCTTTCTAAAAGGTAATTCTTCAGAATTCAGTAATAAAGCAGCCCTGCTTTCTCAGTGATAATGATGTCGAGCTGTCTGACAAATTTTAAATATCAAAGTTTCAAGAAGAGCTAGTAAGTTAACCAGTATCGAGATTCTAAATTCCTAAAACTAGAGCCTTTCCTTAAGATAAGCGGAAATCTGAAAAGATTTTGAAAGAATGAAAGAATTAACATTTACAATCTCACATTTGAAAATAAAAACAGACCATCTTTTCTCCGGTATAGATAGGATTACTTTGTTTTCAATGTACAGTGTAACTCTGTTGCCTAAGTGTTAACAATACCTATTTTCCTTCTGGCTAATACTTATCTCAGAACCTGAATCTCACTTTGACTCACTGTTTAGTTCATCTTAACAAGTATTTATTGAATGCTCACTATATGCAGAGCACCATGCTAGATGCTATTTAGAACATTAAAAAAAACTACAGTTTTTCAGAAGCTTCCTCAAGCTGCAGCTTTTTGCAAGAGCTAGGGCCTGTGCACACAGGCTATTAAAGAGAACAAGAAAATATATGATAAAAAACTTTGGGAACAGGGCTTCAGAACTACTAAAGAAAAAGAAAATCATTCTTTTCCAGATTCTCCCCACTGTGCAGTTGCCTCAACTTGTTTTCACAGTTTCTCCTTCTCTACCAGTTCCAGTTCTCTCCCCAGTGTCTAGATGGCTGTCTTCCTATCTATTTCCCCTTTCCCCACCTTCTC